AGCTTTCAGTCACATAGCCATGACTTGTAATTGTTTGCCATGAGTTTAACCATAATGGTTTGTAACCATTTGATGGCTCTGAGATGGTCTGAAACAGGACGAGGAAGTCTGATCACGGGAATCACAACCGGGCCCCTTCCATAAAAGTTCTAGTTCAATTTGAAGGGCTTTCAGTTGTTTTCTGGCATACGACCGGCAATATAACCCATATCATATCACACGGCATGACTCTTGTCAGTGTCTTGTATGATTCATTCATTAAAACCTACAAGCTACAGAATCTTCAAGCAGTCATTTAATAGTCGCTGCATCAGTGACCTTAACTAAGCTAAATAGAGCCTTGTTAACAGGAGTGCGACAAGCAAGACTACGGCAAGCCACCACGAGGATCGCGTCTGCTTGCAACCAGCTCTCAAACGCGTACGTAAGGCTAGTGGGTTCTTGTTTTTACGACTGATTTTTTCAAGTTTACGCAAATAATTACGGTTGATCATTCTAATAGGTTTTTGTTCCATCTGATAGATATTCAGATTTACTTAATTACAGATTCATTATCTTTGAGAAATATTTTCCTTTCCTTAAAGTTTAGCTTGTCATGAATTTTTAACTAAGAAACATAGTACGCGCGTTCTGATTGTGCCGGTAAACTCATAGAAAACTTAAAGTTATTTCATAAAAGCAATAGGCCACACTTTCTATGGGTTTACCGGCGTGATAACCCACTTGGGTTGTTGGGAGAACGCTCGAAAAGAAGCTTGTAAATCAGTCACACGCCTTCGGCTTGTGGAGGCGTGTGACTGATTTACAAGCTTCTTTTCGAGCGTTCTCCCAACAACCCAAGTGGGTTATCACGCCGGTAAACCCATAGAAAGTGTGGCCTATTGCTTTTATTTATTAGAATTGACCACACTTTCTATTGGTTTAACCACGAGCCGAAGGCGAGTGATTTACAAGCTTTTCGAGTGTTAAACCAATAGAAAGTGTGGTCAATTGCATAAGCAATTGACCACACTTTCTATGGGTTTAACCACAAGCCGAAAGCGTGTGACTGATTTACAAGCTTTTCGAGTGTTCTCCCAACAACCCAAGTGGGTTATCACGTCGGTAAACCCATAGAAAGTGGCCCTCTAATTTTTGTTCACTGAGGGCCATCCAGGATATGACGTAAGCAACAGCAAGTGGTAATTTTGCGAGTATGCGCGAGCCGCTGGACGGAAGTTTGCGGTGGTACTGGATCGCAGCGAATGCAGCCAAGAAAAATGGCGCCTCTTTTAAAAATAACCATCGTCTTAGTCATCTGTTCTATCTTTGTGGAGTGCAGATAAGACAAAGTCTTCTTTGTAATATGCGAGATTGGTCTCAAGGCTAATAAGTCGCAGATCATTCACAATTTTGCGCGGTTTGTGGTCCATGAGTGATTATTTTTTCGTGTTTTGGCTTGGGCGCGGACACGTCGATGGGGTTCTGTGTAACAGCTGCAAAACTCCTCTAGTAAACACCGGATTACTGGGAAAAAATCTCTTCATGTAAGTTGTGACCGAGTACAAAACGTCCGACGCTTACGATTTGAATAAAACACTGTGAAAAAAAATTTTAAATGCTAGTCTGTTTATATAGTCATAACTGCAGTTCTTGCGACAATCTCCTGGCAATAATACGATTTCACGTCAGTTATGGTTAAGGAACGCCCTGTTTTTCAGAGATGTGCAACCTTGGTGCAGTGATTCTGCCAGTGATTACTTTTCAGAGATACCCCATCCTAACCACCAGTGGCCAAAGCAGGTGCAGTGCCCTAATTCTGCGACTGATAAAATTTCAAAGATATCCCACCCAGGGCTATGAAATTGTATGTTTCCTTTTTTGACTAGATGATATTACTAAAGACGCAAACTCAAGAAATGACATCTATTAAATCTATGTGATGCCTTAACTTATTCAGGGGTGTAGGCAGAATTTTGTAATATGGAGGCTCTTGGCTCCAAGATGCCCCTTATACTTCTAAAATAAAGAATTAGATGAGCCAAAACAGGAGTGTGGTACAAGATGTTTCATATTACAGATGTGTTTTATTGAGGTAACCCTAACTATGAAAAATCCTTCCATTTACTCCCCACACTTCTACATAATAGAAAATTGTAAATATGCACACAACAGTGAAAATACTTAAAATAGTAGAGATCATAGTCATATCTAAAACTGCATTTTTTCTTTGAGATATTGAAGCGAATTTTCTGCTTCTGGTACTTCCATGCTTGCACTCATTTTTGCTTTTCATAAATTTTGTTGTTGGTATTTTCTACTGCACATGTGTTAATTATTTAAGATATAACTAATAAGGCCTAGCTCCCTTGACTAGCCCATATCTGTTTGCGGCCAAGTTCTTATGATTTGAAGATTAAAAAATTGAAAATGAGAGAAAATTAGCTCTAACTTTTCCTTTTCATTCAATTTCAACATGAGCAGAACTTAAGGATCTTAAAGCCTGATATTTATAAAGTCT